ATATTTGGGGGGTTTGGGATGCGGATCGTGTCATCTAGTGTTAGTATTTAAAAAAAAAAAAAAAAAAACCGGGCAAGAAGGGAGCTGGCCTTATAAATATTAATGAAGCATTTCTATTTTTCCCTTTTCTTTCAAGATCTGGATTATAAAAATACCTATAGCTGTGACAAAAGCCCCCAAGGGACAGAACTTGCGTCTCTGAGTTGTATGGAGGCAGAATCTCTCCTCTAATGCTTTGTGGATCTGTTAGTCCCCATCAGACGAGACTGCCTCCATGCTTGAGCTCAGGAGGGGAGCGGAGGAACTTTGGGAAGGTTTGTTTTCCGAAGGGATATTAGTTATCGCAGAGGGAATCGAAGCTTTGGGCTCTGCCCTCGCCTTGCCTGATGTTTAACCCTGCTGCCTCCTCTCCTTCGCTGTGTCGAGAAAGTCACTGTAGCTGATGCTTTGAGCTCTTGTATAATGAATGTGTTCCTCTTCACTTCACCTTTGCCCACCCTCACGTCTTGCCTTTTAAAAGCCAGCACACGATTATTCTTGTTTCCCACCAGTGATCTGCCAGTCATGCGAGATTTGTCGCTGGGCTGAGGGTGTCTCTGTGTTCCTACAAAGAACGGTCTGAGCAGCAGCCTGACCCTTGGGGTCAGGGCAGTGGGTTGCAAGGCCCCTCCTTGGAGGAGATCCCCCAGCAAACCGCCCTGCAGCCACCCTCCAGCCTCCCCGGGCTCCCTTCTCCTGCTGTTGCCATCAAAAAGTCAGCAGCAAAATGTTCCCGGAGCCCCTGACCCTTCCGCAGGGCTCTGCAGGGGAAGCGATCCCCGCGTGCGGGCGCGATGGCTCCTGCTGCACCAGTTGCCTCGTGCCGGCATCAGCCTCGTCGTGTTCTCGGGTTTGGTCTGGGCTCAGCGGGTGTTGAATGCCTGCACTTCCCTGCCAAGGCTGGGGCTGAGTCAGAATCGAAATGTTCTGCAGGGACATGCTGTTTGCAATTATTTCATTCATTTTTCTTTTCCTTCCCGAACACCCAAACCTTCTGTTGACGTCCTTTTTGTTTCAGTGCTGCGTTTTTCTGCTTGCATAAGCTCTGAAAAATCGGCGCTTAAAAGTAATGCTCCAGTTGACGAGAGTGACCTTCTTACTAAAAAAGGTGATTCTTGGGGGTGGATTTGTTTCAATGCTGCATTTTTCTGCTTGCGCTTAAAAGTAATGCTCCAGTTGACGAGAGTGACCTTCTTACTAAAAAAGGTGATTCTTGGGGGTGGAGAGTGCAGAGATTTTCACTTGGGGTTTTTTTTAGTGGTTGTTTTGGGTATGGGAAGATGTGTCCTGAAGCATCAGTGTTTGCCAGAGACTAGAAAAATCTGAGTTCAGTCAGATCTACTGGAAAGGCAAATTGGGCAGAAGGACAGATGGGGCGAATCTTGTGTCTGAGGGCTGGGAGAGGAGGGAGGTGCTACTGGAGTGACTGGGTTAACTGGGAAGGGAGTGTTCTCCCCCTGACTCTGAGTCACCAGCGAGCAAAACACGGGCATGAGTGACCTCTCCCTGTGTCTCACTGTGTGGAGCGAGCCAAGAAACGCCCTTGGGAACTTCTTCAGGTGAGATGCTCCGAGTTGTGAAGGGGAAGGAGGTGGAGCTCATGCACGTAGTGAGCCGTCGTGCCCAGCCCCGATGTCTACGGCCCCAGAAATGGCAGGGACCTCCCTGGCTTCTCCTCTCCAGCACCATTTTACAGCCTTGAGGAACGTGGGAGATGCGGATCCTCAGGCATTTGGAAGAGGCAGCACAGGGCAAAATTTGGGGGAAGGCTTAGGGAGGAGGACTGAGGTTAACAGAGATGGCTTTGTTTCTCTTGCCAGCTCAGTGGGATTTGCTGCAGACAGAGGTGACCTCTGGGTGTTTAAAAAGAGCAAAATTAGGTCAGTTGTCTGTGTTGTAGGGCTGGGGGCATCAGTGTGGCTGCAAGATGGGCAGTGATGTGTGGGGGACAATGAAGAGGGATGCAAAGTGCGGCAGGGCAGGAGCACGGGGTCTGTCCCAGCGGGTGGGAGAGCCTCTTCTGCATTGCGAGGAGATGCGTGTGTGGGAATAATCCAGGAATGAGATTTTTGGATCTTGTTCTGGAAACATTGGGTCTGGAGCCCAGAGTTTGACGTTTACCTGCCACCGCGTGCCCTGGGTGAGCGGTGCGTGTCCCTCCGGGCAATCCCTGCTTGGGAGGAGGCACGCAAGGGTTGCCCAACACCAGCAACCAGCTGCTGTTCCATTGACGTTAAAAATACTGTAAGCTGTATTTTTTTATTTATTTGTCTCTTAAAGTACCAGCCCAACTCTCACTTGCACAAGATAATGCTGGTGTGCTGGCATAAGAAAAAAGCGACCGGTGTTCAGATGGGCCTCTCAACAGCAGTGTGATTTCGGACTGTGACCCTTTTTGACGGTGGCTGATTTGAGAGGCAGACTGCCTGAAGGCTGGGCTCTCGGGGTGCACAAACCATGCCTGATAGGTTTCAATCAGCTTGCCCAGGCTTTTGTAAAATGGCTTTTTAAATCACCGCCATATGATGATTATTAGTATTATTTCTAGGCATGCTCTGCGGCCGGCCAGATGGCACACCCAAGTACACTGTTTATTAACTACACTCAAATGCAGACCATCAAATAAAAATAAAAAAAAATCCCTTTCCCGAGGCAGACATTTGATTTTGGGAGTGAACATTGACCTGACACGCTGTCGCTATGAATGGTCTCCGCAACCGCTAATCAAAGGTCTGTTTTGGTGGTGGTTTAAATTTGATTATCTGGGGGGATCCACACAGATCCCCCTCTGGGATGGCAGAGGATTTCCATGCTCTGGTTAGGGAGATTTTTTTGTTAGATGAAAAGCTGTGTGTAGTTGAAGCTGGAGCTTGCTGTGGGGCTGGATGAAATCCTGGGCTGACACATCTCGGAGAAGGAGGGAGTGTGTTGTCCCCGTTGCGGTAACGCCTAGAAATCTCAGATAAAACCACATTTCACTGGGTTGGATGCTGTGCAGGGGCTTGCTAAAGATAGCTGTGGCCTGGAAGTGTTCATAGTCCATAGAGGAAGGGTGGAGAGAGAAGCTGAAGTTTCAAAGGCCATGGTCATGGAGTGGTGGAAAACGAGCACGGCGACTCACGTGGGTGCACGAGCTGAGCTGGTTGGGCTGTGCTGCTGCTGCAAAGCCTTGGGGACAGTGTCGGGATGGGGAGGGTGCCTGGCGGCATCGTGGCCCCAGCTGGGAGTTGCCCGCCACCAGCTGCATCTCTCCCACCATCTTTTGGGCATCTTGAGTTGAAAGCTGTATTGTCCATCTGTTTGTCCTCCTCCAAGTGAGGAGGGAAAGGTGAAGGCTGATGGAGAAGGTCACCGTGTCCAGGCTGGCCAGCCCACATCTCCCAGCCTTCCACCCTCCCGGGCATTTATTTTTCTATTTATCTTTATGTGAGCAGAGTCCCATGCCTGAACTCTTACCTCCCACTCCCTATGGCTGGGCAAAGAGCCAAGGCAGGGGCAGAAAAGGTGGTCTGGGGGGACATGGTGGTCTCCAGCCCTCCCAGCCAGGGCAGTGGTGGGAGTGCTGGGGCTCCTTGCAGGGTTTCTGCAGCACCCGGCTCACATCTACCCTCTGCGTCCTCCACTGCGGCTTTGCCCAAAATGCCACTCGAGTCCCCAGCTCACTGGTGGCACGATGAGCCCCGGGATGTGGCAAGGCTCTGCCTGGGTGAGATGAAGGGGTTTGGATCGGGGGAAGCCTTTCCCTGCTGCAGAGCAAGAGTTGTGCACTGGTATGAGGAGCTGCACGGGTGCAGCTACTCAAACGCAGGCGGAAATAATTTTCCTGTGCAAACCTGTCCCCTGGCTGATTTATTTAAAGGAGCAGGACTGTGCATGAGGCAGAGCCCAGTCTGAAAGAGGCAGCGGGTGGTATGTTGGTGAGCTGGAGATCTCGAATGACTCTGCATCTATCTATCTATCTATCTATCTCTTTTTCTTTTATTTACTTTTACCTTGTTAGCAGCACTGGCCAACCCCATACCAGACTGCAAACAGGTAGAAACTGGGCAAAGGTAGCCCAGGGCATCCCAGCAGTCTAGGACTCCGATGGCTTGTGCTCTGCGCTTGGTGCAGGGAGGGAGACATGATACCCACGGAATTTCTCAATTGCATGGCATTCATTCAGGGTTTTACTAGCCCAAGGCTTTTCTCTGGAGTGTGGCCCGCAGCCACAGGGACAACACGTTTAGCCCATGAGCAGCTGTCCCTGATTGGGTGCTCTTGCACCCCATAGTTTGGGATGAGAGCGGAGGAGGAGGGCTGCGAGGCAGAGCAGGTGCTACAAGATGCTGCTGCCCAGCAGCAAAAGGGTTCAGCCCTCGATTCCCTCTCTCCCTGGGAGGTTTTGTGTTTTCAGCTAAGTTACCCCAGTTCTAGGGAAGACACGGTGATGCACCCTGCAACTTCTGTTGCACCATTGCCTGTGCTGGTGAGCAAGAGTTGCATGTGTTTAGGGATCCGCTGTGGTTTAGCTAAACTTGGGTTAACCATCTAATCTGGGTTAAGTTCTTCCTGTTCCCTTAAAAAGCTCTAAATGAAACACACAATATGACATCGTTGTCCCTAGTGAAAGCAGGTGCATGTTAAATTGGGGTCTGTGAATCAATTTAAGTCGCTCCCTCTGCCTGTACCTCAGTTTCCCCACAAGCAGAAGGGCGATGGGAAGCGGAGGCTCTGTCGAGCTGCTCGGAGGTGACGTTAGCTTCGGTTCATGTCAGGTGCTGACACACTCTGCTCCTTTGCCAGCTGAGCAGCCTTTCCTTACCGCTGGTTCACGCACGATTTGTGCCTCAGGCTGCACATAAGTCATGTTAGAGAGAGCTCCTGTCACACATTTCCGTT